ACGTGACACGGGCCGGCTCGGGCGCGGCGGCTGCCCTGCAGATCGGCACAAGCTCCTTGGAGAAAGCCCTTTCCCCCGGGGGCTAAGCTGCCGCCTCGCCACTCTCCCTCAGTTTCCGTTGGGCTCTGGGCCAGGCTTCTGCCCGGTGACACCTTAGTCCACGACAACGGGAACGACCCTGCGCTTTCCCCTCGCCTCTTTGCTTCGCTTCCCCTGGCTTTCCCTATTTGGCACCCCTCGCTGCGCACAGATAAACTGGCCGTTTTCACGCGTCCTTCTGCTCAATGTCCCTGTCTTGTTCGTGGCACAAACGCGCTAGCTGCTCGGGGCTGCCTGCCGCGTGGACCCTCAGCCTCCCGGGGTGGCTCCTTGTCCCCAGTTCCCTCCTCCTTTCCCGCTTCCTTTTTCAAAGACAATCTTTACAATGAAAGGTTGTGAGCAGTGAGTTACACCGGCTAACGAGTTAGGACTTCATCGAAAATGTACATTGAAATGTAAAATACTAGCGGGCATCAAGTCCACAGCCCTGAAAAAAAGACCCGAGATCCCAGCCCAAACCCAGCTGCTTGTTCAGGCCCCGGGGCCTGGGCGTTGGCAGCCTGGCACTCCCTCACCTGCCGAGCTCGGGGTCACACAGGACTCTGCTCGGGCGTCTCCGGGAGCCCCCCGGTGACAGCGGTGTGCGTGGGGTGACAGGAGAAGGATTTTCACCCTAATCCCAGCCCAAACGCAGCATAGCGCACAGGCCCGGGGAGGCAGGGCACTGGTGGGCAGGCAGGCCACAAAACCTGAGTTTAGGATTGGGCAGCGCCCTGCTCACGCTTACTCGGAAGTGTGCCCTGACTGCGGAGACGTGTGGTTTGGGGTGACCCAAAAAGGACATTGCCCCATAATCCGAGCCTAATCTCAGCTCCTGATATAGCCCCGCTTGGTACATGATGCCCTTTTACATTTGAATGACTACAGCTATATTTAGGGTGAAATCCTAACGCTTTAGCTCCTCTAATTCATTGCTCGCAACCTTGAACTGGGTGAGGATTAGCTTTGGAAAGGGAACCGGGACTCTCCCCCTCGCCCTCTGCCAGGCACCGCTCGGGGCTCCCTCGCCGCAGCCTGACCCGCGCTGGGAAGGGAGGATGTTTCAGGGGGCAAATGTCGTGCTGACCGGGGCGAGGCCAGCCGTGAGGCTGCGCCGGGCCAAGGGCTCGGGCAGTGCTTGGGGTGTCCCAACCTGCGCCGGGCTCCGGGCAGGGCTGCGGCACGCGGCGCCTCTCCTCCGCCTGCTCGGACTGGCCGTGGAGCCCGCCTCCGAGCCAGGAGCCTGCACACTCAGGCGCGGTTTAATCCGGCCGGTCTCTCGCTGGTGGTTTCAAACGCTCGCTTTGTTCGCGGCCCCCGCCCCTTCTCTGACCTATATAAGCCAAGCGGCGGTAAGTGGAAGCGGCCACCCCCACCCCCCCCGAGCTGGCAGCCCCGCGATCTCCGCCTAATAGGGATGACCATTTTCTGGTGTCTGCGTATTGTCAGCGAATTGAGCTGGGAAGCAGTGGCATGACCCCGACTTCTTCCCCATTCCCATGCGCTGACCTGCTTGTGACCTACAACACGGACCGTGACATCTGAATGAACTCTGCGAGCAGCCTCGCCAAGTTCACTGCCCCTCCAATAACGAGATACGGTGGTCTGAGCACCGATAATTACCGCAGGAAACCTTTATTATCTCCGCAGCCATCAGCCGTCAGGCCGAAAAGAATCAAATGGTGAAGAGTGAAAGGGATAATTAAAGACATCTTGGAAGGGGGTCAAGAAATTCACGGCCTGATACGAACAAACTCTGATTACAAGTAACAATTGCCGCCCTTCACTTTGCAAATGCTCCTGTTTATTGGAAAACAAAACCAGTCTCCAGGCTTTTGCCCCGCCCCCCCTTCCGCCGCATTCTTCAGCGGGGCGCTCGCGGATCTACTTCGTGTCCGGGGTGTTTTGCTGGTGTTTCCCGAGCATCCTTCCCCTGGTTATTATTCATGAGCCAAGCCCGCCAGCTGGTGGCTCCTGGCCTCGGGAAGCGGGCGGGCTCCGCGGTCCCGCGCTTGCGGGGCCCGCCGAGGCGCAGCGGGTCGGGGCTGCGCTGGTTGAAGTCCGTCCCTGACGCGCGCATCCACGGCCCAGCGCTGCGCCTCTCTTCCCCACAAAGATTCACCTTAACGGCGAGGTCAGGAGGGCACCGGCTTCTGGTTCACTACGGGGTCAGCAGCACTCCGCGGCCTGGCCTGTGCCACCCGGTGTGCGCGCGGGCAGCCGCCGGGCCCCGCTGCGCTGCCCCGGGTCCTGCCGGCCCGCACAGACGTGGCCGCCCCGGGCTCAAGGACTCGGACTTTTGTCCTCTCGGGAGTTTGCTTGAAGACAGTAACGTGCACCCAGGAGAGCGGGGCTGCGGCAGAGCCGCCGTCCCCAGCCCCAAGCCTCCTTGTGTGTGGAGGGGCGCCCCCCACAACGACCCTAGCGAGCCGCGGCCCCAGGGCAGGAGCGGCAGCAAAGGCACAAGCCAGACGCTTGCGGTGTAGCCAGGCGCTTTCAGCGATCCCGCATCCACCTGAGGAGCAACCAGGACCGCGTGTCCAGCTGGACCGGCAGCGCTGGGGAGAGGCGGCGGCTGCAGCGGGCTCCTTCTTCGGGTCCTGGCTCCTTTTGCCAGGGGCCTCTTCGCACAAGTGGAGGCGTCAGCAGTGACTCAGAGACGCGCAGCTAGGATGTCACCGGACAGGTGCATTGGCTGGCACAAATGTACCCGACTATCAGTGTCCAGCAGCTTGTCCTGGACAAGAAGCCGAAATTAGGCCGGGGTCGCGGCAACTGGGCATAAGGGACCCACTGCTGCCGCAGCGGCGCAGCCCAGGCCCCGATGGAGGAGTCGGACGCGGACTGGGGCACGGGAGCCGGGGAAGGGGCTCAGGGAGAGGCCCGGCCCGGCTTGAGCTCCCCACGAGGGAGCAGCCAGGGGGCAGCAGGGGCCAGGCGGCGCCTGCCCGCCTCTACCACCGCCCTCCTGCGGGACGCGACTCCCGAGATCCCTATCCCGGGCCCGGCCCAGGTTCCTCTCGAGGCCCCGCGGCTCCGACTGGGATCCCCGCCCACCGTCCTCGTGATCTGTCCTTCCCCAGCACACAGCAGCGACCCGGGCGCGTTTTCAGACGCTTTATTGAAATGTTCCCGTCCCTGCCGAGCCCCGACAGCTCCTCCCCCGCGACAGGTTGCAGCCCCGCGCTGGGGCAGGGTGGCACCGAAAGCCCGCCCCGACGCAGCCCCGCTCCTGCACCAGCCGCCGCGCCCAGGGCGGGCACGGAGCTCCCCCGACCGCCCCGGCAGCTGGGCGGGCTCCTTCCGCGCCTCTTCCGACGTTTCTAGCCAGCCGGGCCACAAGGTGCCCCCGCCCCC